GCCACCAGGCAGACAGTTATTTCATGCCCTGTTAATTCCTAATGCAGTAACTACAATATCATTCCTACTTTTAAAAGAGGTGCTTTTTTTTTTTTTTTAAATATGTGGCCTGAGTGCCCAAATAAAGAACATCACTTCTAATGAGGCCGAGTCCCAAAACATAACCTCATTACCCCTGCTGCCGTGCTAATGCCAGGCTTCTAGCTTTAAGACAGTTAATCAAGAAGTTAAAGAAACTCTTCAAACTTTTGAGGTAACACAACAGGTCAGCAGAACTAAACTTTCTCTTCATGTCTGAAAACTACAATCAGAGGTGATGGGCTGGCATTTCTGTCTAAAGGTGGGCCAGGCCAAGGGGTTCCTTTCCCGTGGAACAGGTACAGTGGGGAAGGGTCTCTTTGTGCATGCAACCTTACAGCTGAGCCAATGGCCTCTGTGCCATGATCACGCATTGGTCCCAAAGGCAGAATGTCAACAGCAAGGCACATCTTACAATCAGAGCAGAGAGAGCCCCCCACCCCCAGGAGGCAAGTATCTGGTCTGGACAGGGCTGGGAGAAAACACCAACATGTTGCAATTGTGAGTAACTGTTGTATTAGCTATTTTTTGATAGATTTTATCATTGCTCATTGATCTTTCCCATCCCTTCCCTGTTACCTGTCTTAGCTCCCCCTACCGCACATTCTACACAGGCCTTGTAATACTTTTGCCGCAGCCCTCGAAACCCTGCATCCTAGTTGTATGCTTGATTTTTTGTCTCCCCATTAGGCACCACATGTTCATTCCATCACTGGAACCTCGATGTTTATCACAGCATTGTTGGATAGGAAGCACCCAATGACTGGAGGATGAAGTAAGGGTTTGTGCTTAATAAATAATGTGCTGACCTTATCTGAAAAATCTACAGATTCCACCCAAGTGTCCAGGAGCAATGTAAGGGCAAGAGCTTACACTTTAGAACAAAGCAGATTTAGGCCCAAGTCCCAGCTCTGCCATTGATTTATGCCATGATATGGAGCAAGAGAAACCCTCTCTGAGGCTCAATCTCATGGTCTATATATGGATATAATAATATGGACTTTGCATGGACATTTTTATAGGATTAAGTGAGGTGGTATAGCTGGTACATAGGATATTTATAAGCCTGTGACTGTCCCTATACCAGGCATGTGGCTCCCATCTGTTCTGGGTACCCAGCCATGAAGAAATGGGGTAGGCAGAGAGCCAAGAGCTGGCCTGAGGCCTCCAGCACTCTCAGGAGAGAGCTGTGAACAGCAGACCCAGGACAGCCCTACAAGCTTCCAGGCCAGAGAAAAGTTCCACGGACTTGGAAGGAATTCTTCCAGTGTGGCCCAGATAATAGCATCACCACCATGGCAATGGTGATCCTGGAGGCATGATGATGCTTCACATCTGGCTCTTTGCTTTGCCCTCAGGGACTCCCCCACCCCCAAAGTCCTTCCAGCCTGCCAGGCAGCATAAATCTACATGGGGTATAGGACCAACTTCAGACCTGCTGAGATTTCATCTCATGAAACATTGACATTGCAACCACCTTCTTTTTCCTTCCTGCCAACCTTTGTCATCCCTGGAAACCTTATCGAGCTAGCTTCTCCTTGGCTTACAGACAAGACAACTAATCATGGACCTAACAGCTCGTCAGCTTCAAATGCAGCTGCCTCCACCCTGCGCCTGGCTGAGAAAATCAATGTGCCTTTGAGTTGCTGCATGTACCAAGGGCCCCAGCCTCTGAGAACAAAAGAAGCTAGACTGCTGAGCAGTTCCACGAACAGGGCTGGAAGTTTTCCTGGCCTGAGGGAAGGCTTATAGCAAGTGATATGCTAAACGGTAGATCCAAATATCTTTATCAAGCCCCTGAACTGAGGAAACCAGTTGGTAGAAAAATCAAAGCTCCAGGAGCCTGTGCCAGACTGTTTGCCCCAACCAGCTGAAGGGGTAGCTGGCTGGTACTGTGCCGGGCATCATGTAGGTGATGAGTAGATGGGAACTGTCTGATCAAATCCACTGAAGGAGGAAGCAGAGTTCACAGTCGGAAGTCCCTTCCTGTGTGATGTCAAGCCCCGTCTTTATCCCCCTTGCAATTTCTTGAGGGAAAGGACCGCCTACTCACTGTCCCAGAGCACACCCACTGGACTTTCCAGCCCCATTCCATATCAGAGCTAATGCAGGAGAAATGCTGGTGAGATGTGGGGGTTGATCTTGCCTGAAAGCTCTTCTTCAGGGCCACTGAAAAAATCTATGCTCATGGTAGATGATTCACAGCAAAAGACTTCCATTAACATAAGAAGGAGTTAATCTCTACTAATAATTAAGAAAAACTCAAATTCAAATATAATGGGGTACAATCTTTCATCTATGGATGTTCAAGAGGGTGTGGGAGAAATGGTAATTTCTGGTTCTGGTGGGCATGTAATTAACACAGCAGCTTAGGAACATTTTGGCAAGATCCAGTAAAACCTAAAATTCTCAGATCTTACAACCCAGCAATTCCAGATTGCATACGTGCACAAGAAGACTTGCGTATAAATGCTTTTTGACACATTGTCTGCAATGATGAAAAACTGGACAGTATCCAAAAATTCACCAATCGGGGATTGGCCCAAGTGTCTATATAGTGGATGGATACTATAAAAGGGATGAAGGGAATCTCAATGTTGACACAGATACAGCTCAGACTACAATGCTAAATAGAAAAAGCAAGCTACAAAGCAATGTGTAAATTGTGCACGCACACATACTCTGTCTCTCTCTTATCCTACCCAACTGGAAGAGCTCAGCTTGGAAGCATCTCTGATAATTCCCACTCACACTGAACTCCCAGGACACTTATCCTAAAAGCTCAGACCTCTATACTTCTCAGCACTATTAATGACCTTCATGAATGGACATGGCTGTCTCCTCAATGGACCACGCACCAGTGTGGCAGAGAACGTTGCTCCTGCTCTCTCCAGAGACACTACAGGCCGTGCACAGAGTAGGTGCACAGTCAGCATCTGCTGACTGACTCAGCGAGACAACTCCCTGAGCTCATGGGGGAGGCCACCAAACAACAGACCAGGTCGGGTGGCCACTCTCCCCAAGAACCTGCCAGCAAACCTGTCGTCCCCAGCCCAGGCTTCCCCTTGCCCACCCATCCTTCCCTGCTGCCCATGTTGCCCCAGGAAGTCACGGGAGCCCCTCGCCATCCCGTACTTCTCCTGCCTCCATGCTGAGAGGGCACAGACTCTTGTCTGCAAGTGTGAGTGCCACAAATAAGTCCAAACATAAATAGGGCCCAAAAATAGCCATAAATCACTCTGATTTCATCCAGTGACAATTCTAATTTATAACATGAGGGAAGAAAATGAGCACCAGAGCTTTTTCCCCTGGGCTCCTCAGCTGCTGCTGAGGAAGAATTCCTCCCCGCTGCTACTCGCCGGCAGAGGTTCCTGATTTACGTATTACTAAAGATGAAATACGCCGGGGCTGCGGGCATGGGGGCTGTCTGCCCTCCTTTCTGCGTGAATTCCCGCAGCCCTGTCAGTGCCAGTGTGAGCAGCCTCCCCATTCTCAGAGCCATCAAGCACCACTTACTTTCTCCCTCTTCCTCCATTGTGGGAATTGAGGGTCCCAGGGGAAAAGCACAGCTCGAGCCCCCTTGGCTCCCTGGGACGGTGTCTAATATATCTGCACTCTCACTGGTCATAGCCCTAGAGGTGGGTCCAGAGCAGCATGTGCAGGGTAATCTGCATTTTAATGTTCCATGCCGTCAATTAAACCACGCTGTGCAAACACTGAGCACAGGAGAGTGTCGGGAACTGGAGTTTCTTGGATCAGGGCTTTTCTTTGTGCATTGTCATAAAGCATTGTTATTAGGTGCAGAAAAAAACCATATAAAACAAAAGTTATCTCTCTCTTTGGGGTAATATAATAAAAGCCATCTGATGCTATTTTTAACAGCCATAAGAAGCACATGATTAACACAGAAAAAGTCATAATGACAAAGTGCATCACAAAAAGCATCAGCGTGGAAGGGCAACCCATTGAACTCAAGTGGGTTTATGAGCCCAGCTATCCATCCTGGCATGCTAGGGACTCAACACACCAACAGACGCCAGGTCACCTCTCTCTGACCACGCTGACATACCAGGTGGATTCCCAGGCAGCTTCTCAGCTCCTGGCCCAAAGCAGCACTTGCCACACTCCTGGGGGAAGATCCTTCCCAGGTCAGTAGGAAACACAGAGAAGCAAGCGCTCACTAACTAGCAGGCCAAGAATTCACCACATTCACCACAATTCATGCCCTCTCCCTCTATGGCTATGAGACGTGGCCCTCAAACTGTGGGAAACAGGAATGAGGGGATTTCTCCAGGGCTGCCCAAGGTTGAGCGCCTGTGGAATCAGAAGGCAGTAAGGAGACCAGACTGCATCCAGTCTTCACCTGAGGACCAAAACCCAGACTTTGCTCAAGATCCCAAGATGTTTCCATAGCACCCCAGCCCTGCAGGATCACACACAGCTGTGATCCCATCTAGGGAGCCATAACCACTGCTAAGGTTGAAACACCAAGTTGTCGGTAGAGGGAGTGAAGCCAGGCCCTGCGGGGACGGGGGTCACCAGCTCAGCCAAAGGCAGGAAGACCCCCTCAAGAGTGACATCCCTTATGCCGTCCCTTCTCCCTGACACCTTGCAAACTCTTAATGCACGAGAGGGTCTTCTGTGATAAATACCACAAATGATTGCACAGAAACCTGGCAGATCCCCACCCACAAACCCAGGATTCCTTAGAAACAGGAGTGCTTTAGTTCAATCCAGTTTTCCCAAAAACTTGGAGACGTTAAAGGGTGAGAAGGTAGAAAAAACAAAAGCAAAAACCAGGGTCTTGACCAATAAAATTTCTTTTGACAGCAGTGGCTGGCGCCGACTTACACCAAAGCAACTCCACCCTGTGCTGCACCGAAATGACATTTGTGGGACAGGAGAACCATTCCATCCCTTACCTCCACTCCCTGGACCTTGAGTTTCATGTGGTCCTCTCGGGTCGTTTTCCCGTCTTTCCTCTTTTTCCAGCAATACCCATCTTTCCTGTATTTCACTTTCTTCCTGTTGTAGAGGATCATTGAGCCATTCTGTGGTCTGGAAACAACAAATGGTTAAGTTACCAAGAGAACCAAGCAGAAGAAAAATTTATGAAGAAAGATATCGTCGACCAGTAAAAGTCTCTACAGAAAAGCAATATTCCACGTTTGCTGGAACATAATTTTTCACCTTTTATTGCAGCTCCCTGGATTAACCATGTTTTATGGCCAGCCAAAATTTGCTTTGGATTTGGTACCTAATGAATTAAATGTGTCAATGATAGGCTTAAAAAACATTCCCTCAGTAATAACCACAAACTAATCAGGATATACGATGCGGGGGCCCAAGCTCTGCACTGAAAAGTAGGCAAAACAGAGACAGAAAGCAAAAAGGGCCGGGGGTGTCGTGGCAGCCTGCAATATCTTATCTCTTATAGAAGGATTTTCTACACATCTTTTAATCCATCACCCAACATTAGGAAATAAATAAGTTTAACACAGACGCTAGATGACTATGTTAAGAACAGACCAATGGCAGAGCTAGTCAGTGAGGCCAAATGCTCTTGATTCATTGCCTGCATTTAGATTACTGCTAGATATGAAAGAGCACCCCAGTCTTGCTTCTCAAGCAAGCTAAGTACCTGATTCTTTCCCATTTGGGCTTCAGCTGTCAGAGGTCTTAGATACTGCCAGGTAAATTCATCTATTTAGTCCACAGCCATGGGAAAATAGTTGCTGCTTGCTAAATGCTAAGAGTAAGATGGCCATTCTTGTGATGTTTAAAAAGAACAAATAAAAAGAACCTTGAATTTTCCAAAAAGAAAACATGGATCTACCAGAGATAGCAGTGGATTATTGCATGCATATCTGCAATTGCAGGGATGACATATTTGGGGTTTAGAAGCTCCAAGGAGAGAAAGAATTATACCCCTCAGGAAGCCAAGGGCAAGTACTTCCACAATAAAGTTTCAGCAGGTGTGGGCAGATCCAACTTCCAAGGAAGACTCCTCTAAAAGGTAGTAGCACCCCACCCTTGGCATAGGAAAGAATAATTCGGTACTCCATGAGGTTAGCACAGGCTAGCCATCACACTCACAGCAACGGTGAGAGAAATCTTCATACAAATAAAGCGAATGAAGGGGCTTTATTGGCACGGTGGCTCATGTGTCTCTCTGCCACAGCAGACATAAAGAGTAGTTAAATCAGCATCCCCCAGGGGCTGGGGCGAGACCTCCAGCCCCTTTCTTTGTTGCTTCCTTTGAACAATGGGCCATTTCACAATCAGGCACAGAACATCAGGCTATTGATGGCTTACTATTACATTTTCTGTAGGGGAAAAAAATCACACCAGGGTGACTGCAGCTAATTGTAGCTCCCATCCAGCCCCACTTGTCATTCAGCAGCAATATGATGACTAAACAGCAATTCCATTGGAAATTACAGACTTTCACCAGCAACTCCCAACATTTCATTGTTTTCCGATCAGGGTGCAATTGGTTTGTGTCAGTATTGGTTTCCTCCCTAAGTCTGTACCAGCTAAAACAATCAGGAAGCAGCTCCACGCGCTTGTCACAAACGCTGTCACCTAATGGTATTTGTCTTGTGCCTACAAGTCTGCATTGAAAATCTTACAATTTGCTTCCATTTCTAGATGGATGTGGGCTCGCAAATGGGGTCGACCATGCCAGCCTCTTTCCACTTCAGCCCTGCGCTAGATTCGTGTCCCTAACTTCAGAGTGCTGTGAGCCCTCCTGTGCCCTGAAAGACCCATCAGAAGGCCCTCAAAGTCACCTGATATGCTTGGGGTCCCTGCCTAAGGAATAAGCAAAGGAATATGTCTGATCAAACGGGTGGGCTATGCTTGGAATTAAGACCCCCACAGGGTGTTGCAGGGATGCCTGGTCACAGAAAACTCAACCACTAAAGAAGACCTAGCCTTGATCCAGCCCACTTGCTCATGAGCTAAGTGATAGATTGTGATTTGTTCCACCCCTCATCCTTCCTAAACATGGTCAATATACTTCAGCAGTGTCTTCAGGCCAACTGCCCCCAAATTTCAAGCAGTATGACCAGATCAAGAGGGGAATCCCCAACACACTGTCATGTACACAGTCAGAATCACAACTGCAACCACCCAATGAGACCACCTTCCTCTGATGATACACCCTTGGGCATCCTGAGAATGGCACTGTCATCTGGCACTTTAAGCAGGACACAATTCCACAGGGAACTTAAGTGTCCAACTTAAATGGCCTTAATAAATGGAATCATCATTTTAACTTGTAATAATGAACAACCTACAGTGCTTAATCCACCAATCTGATTTTATTAGGACTCGCTTCTTCTCTGAATGATGGTGGAAGTTCCTCACCACAGCTCAGGGGCCTAAGAACAGCAAAGGGAAAAGGAGATGGGTTGCAGAGGGCCCACATACCCATGATGCAAAGAACACGAGGCTGCACACCCATCCCAGAACAGGATCAAGAGCAAGTTGGAGATGGTGGGAAGGGATCCAAGGAAGGAAGGAGGGAAATGGGTGCTGCTCTGGGGGAATTTGAGATGGGGAGGCCGCAAGGGGCCAGTCAGGGGGGTGCTTTAACACATTTCTTGACAGCATAAAAGGTAGCACCCATCTAAGAATAGCAAGCAAATGGGAGTGGAACTGCAGACAGAGAGGCTATTGGGGACCACCTGGAGGAGGCATGGGAGCCATGCAACTTGATACTGTCACCAACTCCCAATTATGGACCACTCACTGTGTGCCTGGTGCTGGTGGGGCACATCACATGCATATCTACAGCTATAGCTGTTATCTTTATCTGTATCTATTGTCTATATTTTTCTGTATCCTCATACCAACCCCATAAGGTAGGTATTATGATCATTCTTAACATATAATCAAACCTAATAGCCCAAAAGTGTCTGAGCAGGATACACTCAGAGTCAGTCTGAATCCAGAGCCACCCGGAGGCTGCTGGGTTAGCACAACCTTGGGGCCAGCCTGTCTGGGTTTGAATCCCATTTCTTCTCTACTAGCTGGGTGAGCACTGCTGCCCTGAAAGCACCCCTCACCAGTGGATAGGGATTTGGGGGGCAAATTCCAGGCTTCTACACCCCATGGTTGGGGTCACTCTTGGTGCTCTCTCAGAGCTGCCCTCTGGTAGTGGGCTCCAGCTGCTGAGGGTGGTCACTTACAGGGGCAAGGAGGGGAGACAGTACTCTATTTTCATTGCTCCTTTTCCTCCTTCACTTCTACACTCCAACTGGTGTTTCCTGGGATCGCTTCTCAGATAAACTGCACTGGAATCCACATCTCAGGAACTCCTTCTGAGAGAAGTTTGAACTATGGATGACAATCTAAGAAAGCCTCAAGAAACCTTCCAAGACTTCCATTGCAACCATGCAACCATTTTTTTCCTTGATATTCCTATATCAAGGAAAAAAATGTGGACAACAGGAGGCTTCATTCTCACTATGGAGACTTCTAGCCACTTAGTCCTTTTATCTAAGAGACCAATAGCTGACAAAACCAATAATGTGCAGTGCTACACAGTAAAAAGATCATGGAATCAATGGAAACTTACTACAAATTATAACAGTAAAGAAACAGACTAGAGGCTGGAGGTGGGATGGTTTCAGGATGATTCAAGCACATCACATTTATTGTGCAGTCAAACTTCTCTGTTAATGATAATCTGTATTTGCAGCTGCTCCCCAGCACTAGTATCACCGCCTCAGCTCCACTTCAGATCATTAGGCATTAGATTTTCCTAAGGAGCCACAACCTAGATCCTTTATATATGCAGTTTATAGTAGCGTTCCCGCTCCTATGAGACTCTAATGCCACCACTGACCTGACAGGAGGTGGAGCTTATGCAATGATGTAAGTGATGGGGAGCAGCTACAAATATAGATGAAGCTTCATTCACTTCCTCACCCACCACTCACCTCCTGCTGTGCAGTCCTGTTCCTAACAGGCCACAGACCAGTACCAGTCTGAGGCCAAGGGATTGGGGACTACAATTCTAAAAGACACAAAAGTAGGCTTTGATACATGCAAAAACATGTCTTGCTCAGGAAGAGTTATAATCACAAAATGTCAATCTTCCCAAAGTTAATTCGTAAATGTGATGTAATGACAATGAGAATACACTGGAGTTTTTATTCTAGATCTAGAAAATTTTATTATAATGTTTATTTTGAAGGAAAAAACATTAAGAATAGCCAGATAAACTCCCAAAAAGAAGACGAAGGTGTATGGGCTAGTCCTACCAGCTACTAACACATATTATAAAATCTCTATTTTCAAAAAAGAATGGAATCAACACATGAATATATGGACAAGCCAATGGAACAGGATAGGAAATCCAGAAATATTCTCACTGACATATACAAATATATATAATATGCACAAAAGGCAGTCTCTCAAGTCAGTAGGGGAGGGGATCGACTTTTTAATAAGTGAAATTGGGATAACTAGATAGGCATAGGTAAAAAGAAAACATTGGATCTATCCCTCACATCCTACTGCAGCATCAATTCCAAATGGACCAGACAGACGTCAATGGAATAAATAAAATCATACATACTGTAATATAAGTGAATTTCTCTATAATCTGAAAGTAGAAAAAAACTTCCCTAACCATGATTCATGATCCAGCAACAATATGTGAAAGATGGATATATCTGATTACATAAAAGTAAAACTGCCAGAGTGTTTTCCAAAGTATCTGTATCATTTTCCATTCCCACTACAAATGTACAAGGGTTCCAATTTCTCCACATTCTCCCCAACATTTGCCATTGTCTGTCTTTTGGATTACAGCCATCCTAGTGGATGTGTAATGGTTTTAATTTGCATTTCCCTAATGACTAATGATGTTGAGCATCTTTTCATGTCCTTATTAGCCATTCATATAATTTCTTTGGTGAAATGCCTATTTGAATCTTTTGCCCACTTTTAATTGAGTTGTTGGTCTTCTTATTTTTGAATTGTAATAGCTCTTTGCACATACTCTGGATACAAGTCCTTTATCAGATATGTGATTTGCAAATACT